CGGTGCTTACTGTCAGGTTGATCAGTCGTGTTAACGATTCTCTCCGTATCCGTTCTGCCTCCAGGATGTCCTCTTCTCGCTCCAATATCTCCAGCAAAGCGCTTACCACCTTCTCACCTGAGATGTTCGTGTACATAGATTGTACATCAAAAACTCACCATCAGTTCCGACCTCATCATCCCAATGTTCTGGATCCTTTTAGAAAATTCATATGAATTCTTAACGGTATTCGAGAGTCTGTCATTTTCTTTCTTGAGCTTCAAGCAAATGAATTTCGCTAGTTCAAGCATTGCTCCATGCTTTTTGTTGACTATTAGTCTTAGAGAATTTACTTCCTTGTGTATCTTCGGTAGTCCGTAGGCTGTCGGTGGCCTTGCGTCATTTTTTTATTAAAGATTTCATCCACCATCTGTCAATTTCCCCATTATTATGCATTTCCTTGAGCATACCCTTGATCTTCGTGGTTGGATACTTGCTTAGCATTTGATAAGTGTTCCGGTCGGCAAGGCTACTTTCCATTTTCTCCGTGTAGTGTTTCCTGTCCATTACAACCGTCGCTCCTCCCTTATCCTCCTGAAGAACTATTTGATCATTCTTTTGTAATGTTTGTTTTCCCAAATACTAGCCAATCTCCTACTGTGTAACCTAATCAAAGCAAACAGTATCACAAGATTTGTGGGTTGACACACAAGAGACTAGGACATGGCAAGTCATAGACTCGGTATTATGGATAAAGACAGTATTGAAGAGGCGGAAACTGGAGCTAGTTGGTTGACAGTTGGTTTTACAAGAGACTTGGACCATATAGCAAAGGAGTGACCATGACACTTACTCAGAGGTTCGAGTCTCCAATTAGTCACCCAAGCACAGGAGAGGGCGAATAACGCCTCAAGTAGCATAGATGGGTGGCAGGGGTCGAGTGAAATACGTGAACCAGGGAGAGAACAGACGGATCTGGCGGGCAAGAGAGGGACTGTAATAAGACCTAGGGAAAGAGGACAGCCTAACAATATGGCAGACTCTGATCAACATTCCCAGCACAAGGGTGAAGGGGGTAAGAATGACAGCTTGGAGTGTGAAGGGTTTTCATGAATGCCGCTCAAAGGAGCACACTACACTATATCGAAGTAAGCACGGTAACAATGGTAATAGTGAAGGCGTGATAGGAGGATATACGAAATGTGAATAGGCCAGTGTAGAAGGGGAGATACCACAACTGTTTTGCACACATTTGGTCAAAGTAATGGCTTACTTATCTCGGACGCGTTGTTGTATGTTGCTAAGACTGGCGATACTCGCTGACGATGCCGACAAGGATGCCGGTGAAATGTCTGGAAATGTACCACATCCACGATCCGAATTTGGAAATGATTCTGCATACAATGGACTCTGGACTAGGTGCGTTCCTCTAAGTCTTCCTATCAATATGACCAAGTTGCGAAAACAAGTTCAAACTACTTCTAAATAGTAATTTTTTTAATAATACCACTACCACCTATATTGGATATTAAAAGGGTCAACTAATATAAAAGGAACGTGTATAATTTACATTTTTAAATATTCTCACCCAGAAATCATATCGCTAAACTCAAAGAGGCTTGTAAATAGTTGAAGCATACTACGTAAATTATACAGCTTAATGTGAAATAAGAAATTTTTCAGGGTAAGACCAGTAGGAGTCCTATCATCCTAGGTAGCATGAGATGACGAAAGACTGATAGCTGAAGTTTCCTATAATAATGGGAGTAAGTCTTATATTTTCAGTGAATTTCAATTATTCTTGCTACTGAAAACTTATACTTTTACAGTATAGGCTGCAGTTTCAGCCTACTCGCATTAGTGTCGTACAATTTAATTTTCAATGCTTCAGAGTTTACTGGTAATCTTTAAACCTACTTATTATGAATATAAGTAACGTAGACGATTGTAACTGCAAAATATAAGTTCGCCCTGATAAAAAATCCCAATTTAAACTAGGTATTGGATATGCCCGGCTTTATTTTAAATATAGGTTTTTCCTACGACCCATATACACATTTAACGATGTGCTATAGTGATAACATGTCGAGATGATATTCTGCATTATTAGAGCTCAATGTTCCTTGGGGATGCGGCCGAGACTTCAATTATCGCCAGGCCTACGCATATGATTGTGGAAAAATTCAATTATCAGTCCTTCATCACCTTACGCGATCTAGGGTGACTTAACTCGTTATTCAAGAGCTCGTGATATTCTCAAAGCCCACGTCTTGGAAATACACTATCCGAATTGCCTAGAAGAATATTTTGATAGTATCTCCTTTGGTTTGGCTTTAGTCTGATTTCCCTGCGTAGATTTGGTTTTATGGGATGTATTCACCCTTTTTCATTTGAGCTGATGAAGGACTGATAGTTGAATTTTCCCACAATGATGCAAGTAGAACTGACGTTTCCATTATGTTGCCCATAGCCTTGCTTTCCCAAAAGTTGTTCTCATTCAGGGTGTACTGCAGTTTTGACCTGCATAGGTCTTATCATCACCCCCTGCGGGAGTCGAACCGTGGTAGTGCAGAATGTAAGCTGGAAACGTTAAATATCGAGCAACATTGCCACGAGTGTCCTTGCGTCACGGGACAGATGTGAAATTCTACAAACA